CTAGTTATGCCGTTTAAGGGTATTTTACGAGAAATTCAAAAATAAATACCTGCAAATCAAGCTATGGCCTGAGAAAATTTAAATATTTTCTCCAAAATTTAACGAATTTTATGATATGAACTGATAAATTTTTGGAGTTCTGGATTGAGTAAAATACTCTAGTCAAATACTACCTCCGGTCTTAATATAAAACCTTGTTTAACTTTTATTTTGGTCCTAAATATAAGACCCCAATCCACTTTGTCTCTCATATTTATGCATTTTTCCTAAGGTAGTCATTCTAGCAATAGTAATTCTAACCAATACACTTGATTAGTAAGGATATTTTAAGAAAGACAACACCTATTTATTACGAATAACTAACTTAACTTCTTTTCTTAATTTCTTCAAATTAGTCAATTGGTTTTTATAATTAGGACCAAAGGTAGTATTAGATAATTTTTGTCCCCTAAATAGGAGACAAAATTAAAGAAAATATCTAAAGGCAATCATGAGGGCATTAAGTAAGCTTATTGAGTTACCAAGGTGCAATTATGACACCGCTAAGTCATCTAATGAGTCACAAAGAGATAATTATAGACAGTAGAAAAATCAGAATGTAGTACGAGTATATTTTAAACAGTCCTCTATTTACCCGTTATAGCGAAATTTCTACTGCATGACTCAATGATTAGTCCATCAGTGTAGGTAATTATTTTCTTCTATGCTCCTCTAAGATGGCGCCATATGTGGACTTATTTGAGATGAGAAAAGGATACCAAAACATGTCCCAATGGTACCCTGTAAGTCAAAACCCGAAAAAGCACTAGATACAATGCAGAATGTCAAGATAGGTGGAGGGATGCCTAGAGGTTACATTTTGCACAAATTTCTTATTAATTTTCTCCTTATTTTAATGCCATAATGATGAAGGGACATGCAAGAGATAGTGTAAGGTTGGATTAAAGGCATGTGTATTGTTGGATTGAGAGACACTTGGCTTGATCAAGATGAAAGATAAGGGATACGGGACATATGGCAAGATCATAAAGAAAGATCAAATAGACAGTTAAGATTAAGCCACCTATTTACAAGATCAATGGCCAAGATTTAACCTTGCTTATTATAAATACCCCTTCCTCCTATTCTACGTAAAGTTTCGACCAACATGAGAGGAATAGGGGAAGAGGCCAAATTGAACTAAGGGAGAAGGAAGAAGAAAAAATTCAAGTGATTTCATGTAAGATCAAGTTCCAAAACAAGGTATATTTATGATCTTTGGTATAGTTTTCACTGTTATGATTGTTGTTGAGTTTGGTTATGGATTTTAATGGTTTTTGGGAGCTTGAAACCCTAGGGGTATGCTGCATGAAATTCCTATTAAGGGGAAGATGAAATTGATGTTAGAATAATGTTCAAAGGCTTGAAAGGATCAAGAATCAAGTGGTTTTATGTTAAAATTGGTTGAATTTCATGATTGTGTCACTTGAGGAAACATTTTGGTCAAGTTGAGTACATTTTGGCCAAGCTGAGTTCTATGCCTTAGGGTTGGATTTTGATTATTTTGATACTTTCAATGAGTTTAGAATGAAAAATTGTGTCGGGTGAAAGTGAAAAAACAAGTTTGGAAGCATTAAGATTGAAAATGAAAATTTTAGACATTAAAGGCATATTATTCGGCCAAGGCAAAAAATGGGACAAGGAGTTGGATTTTGATAAATCCAAACTCATATTTGGATTCCCTATGAAAAATTAGTGGGAAATGGCCAAGAGAATGAATTTAGGAATCTAGATTAAGAAAGTGAAATTTAAGGTTAAAGAGAAACAAGTTTAAGAGTTAAGATGGTTAATGGTTTTTCATGGTCTTAATAGATTGGATATTATCGTGTATTGTGAATTTAGGACCATGAAACACTGAGAAAGAGGAATGACGAGATTGTTCAAGCAATCTTGATGGTTGGAAAGTAAAGGGAGCAAGAAGAAAACTTAAAGATAAAAGGTAGTGAACTTACCTTTTTTGTGTGCTTGATATGTATACTTGTGTATTGATGTGCATTATATTGTTTGATGATGATATGAGATGCTAGTGCTAGTATGATGTTCTGTTTCATTGATATTTTTTATGGCCATGCATGTTAATATAAAACATTGAGCATGAGAAAATGTTATAAGTAAGCATGAGCTAGATCAAGTAAACATGTCATACACTTGCATCTATCTTGCATGTATTGATAGTAATGTTTGCTACTGAGATTCTTCCAAATCTCACTCTCCCTTAACAAACCCTAATAGATGATAATGATCAAACAAATGATGCATGAAGTGGAAGCAAGGAAAGAGGAAGAGAATTGAAGAAACTTATTGTATTACATTATATAATTTGCATCAATGTATTTTATAGATGTGCCATTGATGATATGTAATGTTAAATGATATTGATGACATGTATAATTGGCTATGATGCTGTATGTGAATGGCTAATGCATAAATGGAATGGTATTATATATGGAAAGAATTAATCATAAATTGTTAATGCAAATAAGGGGTATAAGTTATCTCTAAATGAACCACTAATGATATGAGGGGACGTACAGACTAGCTAGAATCAAGTAACGGACGGATGGTTGATTTAGGTAGGACCTTAAAAGAACTTGTCTCTTACAACCTAGCCATGAAGACACCACAAGATTGATCAATCCCTTGATACTATCGAGTATTCTCACGAGAATATAAGGATGCAAGCAAAGCTCACATGAGAGAGATAAACTCAATTCTCATTCATCTAAATCTTAATTCAATTACAAAAAATGTAGCCTATATATAGGCAACAATAGAACACTCTAGAATTAGCATCCTAAGACATAAATGCTAAGGGTGATGCCTCATTAATGATTATTTGACTATGGGAGGCACCATTTATTACATAGAAATAAAAGGAAATAGCTTAAACTTCAAGAACAAGTCTGCTATTTGAAAATAAGAAACTGTAAAATAGGAAACTAATTAAAGCAAACAAAATCCTAATTAATGTCAATAATATCACACTTGATGCTTCTTGAATCTTCTTGGACCTTCCAAATGGATCTTCATAATTACTATTCACGTCCATAAGCATGCATGGGCCTTTTAGGCATCCATTTGGGCTTGAATATAGTTGAATCACGTTCTGAAACTCCCATAGTCCATAACACAATGCATTTGAGCCCCAATTTAAAAGATTATAGCTCTAATGGATTCCTCCAGGCACATATAATTGTGTTGGGCCTTTAATAACACAAGAATTGGCTTCAAATGCTCCTTTTGGGCTCTTAGAACATGCTCTTATCTTTCTCAAAGTCCAAATATTCATACTCTGATGACTTATATACCATGGTGGTTTTCGGGGCGGCCTTCCATATGTCATGTTAAGCTCCATATGTATCCATGTCATCATCCAAGGAATGATCCATGTTCTCCTCCACGTAAGTATTCTTGAGCTATAAATCCCTTGAACACTCTAGAGGGCTTGTTGGGCTTCTAACAGAAGGCGTGCTATTTGGGCTTCATGACCTCCATATTCAATGCCTCCTGGTATGCTATCAACTAAATAATAATAGAGTAGAAGTGAGACATATGATTAATTCTACTTGTGAAATTTGACATTGTTAAAGTACACATTCTGAGCTTTTAAAAAGTGATAGATCACTCAAAATAGATGTGTGCTAATAATTATGTTTGATCAAAGTTAGGGTAGAGAAACTGGAAAATACAGTTTTTACCAAATAAATAGTAAACTTTCATGAATAAACTGTACGAATTGACAAGGGTTGAGTCTAGTTTTATATTTTTCTCCTATAGAGAATTTAAAGAGCTTCAAATAGAATTTTGAACCACCTCAATATGATTTTTCTATAATTAGTTATGATTTTTTAAAGTTGGACAAAAAATCTGAAAATTTTCCAGTGAACAGTAACTGAGAAGCAAATGTTAAATATTCAATACACGGGCTTGTTTTGTGACCTGCTTAAACCTTAATGCTTCCAAATGCGTACTTAAGAAGGTTTAAGGAAGGATGTTTCATGAATAATTAACAATATGAGAATTTTATTTCTCTTGTGTGAGCCTTGCTTGTATCCTCACATTTTGGTGAGAATACTCGATAATATCAAGGGATTAATCAATCTTGTGGTGTTTTCATGACTATAGTTGTAAGAGACATGTTCTCTTAAAGTCTTATGTTGATCATCCGTTTCGTTTTTTGTGTTGAGGGTTACAAGAAGCAAGTTATCGTGGGTCCCATTCTATCTTTTCATTACTTGATTCTAGCATATGTCCCCTTAATACCATTTCTTCTTTCTAATTTTCCCTCTTTCTCATCTATTAAACATTAAGAGTAATTTGATCTTTTACCCCTTAAACTTATTGCTATCTGAGGACCTCAAAACCTAACATATTTCAGGTCTCATTTTATAATTAACTTGTCCCCAAATTTTCCCATTTTCTACCTAGTTAGTGAGGCTAAATCCTTTCCTTTAAAGGTCACAACTAGCTTTGTAGATCCTAGAAAAGAAAAACAAATGTTGCACCATAGATGAAACGATTAATTTTTTCTAGACATGATAGATATTTGACAAACTAATAAAATTGGTGCTTCAGATGGTAAAAGAATTGTGCTCCTTCAACGAGATTGGATTTCACGCTATAAAAGAATTGAAAGGTTCGTATTCAATTTAACTTAATTCTTGTTATTTTTAGTAAAAATAATGTAGATTATAAAAATTAATTATAAGTAAAAATTCAATTCAAATAAAAAGTTTAAATCAGGATCCCCACAGTCCAGATTGGAGAATTCAGATCTCATCTTTATACCCATCCAGTGTTGCGAAAATCTCAACGGTTCAGATTCATTAAAGAAATTTTGTTCCCCAGTGGTTAGGGCTCAAATAGTTATTACCATTTGTGAAGTAAATACGACAATGATAATTTCTCAGAACCGGAACAAAATAATATGTGGATAATAATACCAATCACGTGGGGAAACCATTCGAAGACGGCTCGGGGAACACGGTTGCCGAGCTCGTGCGGGCGGAGGATCGTAAAGAAGAGAATTGCAGGATAATCGCTGTGATATCACATCGTTATCAGCAGCTTGTATTGACTGAATTTGAAAAAGCCGGAGCTATGGCGATGCGGGACCTTGTTACTGGTTCAACCTCTTGCCCTGATCCATCTTCTTCTTCCTCTGCTTCTAATCCCCTTGGAGGTTTGGCCACCGCTCTTTTAGGCACTTCCTCTAAGACACAGGTGGGGTTGGGTTATTCTTCATTCACGTAATAAAGTAATTGTTTTTCCCTTTCAATTTACCAACTTTTCTGTTAGAGGAAGTGATGGCATGTTCATATTTGAATATGGAGTCAACTGTTTTGATAGCAGTTGTTTTTAGTGACCTTATTTATATCGTATCTGGACTTCTTATTGAAACAGGAGAGGCTCAAGGAGATTCCTGCAACTACTCCTACGAACTCTGGCCTTCAATTTTACTCAGAGGCTCGTCAAAATTTGAATGAGCTTCCGGGATTGGAATCTGATAAACCGTTTGCGGATGGTAGCTCTCAGGTTTGGTCTTCTTTCCATTTTAATTCTCAATTTTTCTGTGTCTTCCTCTGGCTCTTGATGACCTTAAGTTTGTGAGCTGCTTATGACAGGGCTCACAGTTTTTCCATAGTTTCCGGTCAGCTGATCGGGCAGGCTTCGAGGATACGTGGAATGAGATACAGCATCTTCATGGGCCTCCGGCTCAAGGTAGAGTCGGTCAGTTCCCAATTTCTGAACAGGACATCTTCAACGATAAAGTAGATTATGTTCCGCGACTATTGGATGGTAATTCCAGTTCTTTAATCTCTTCCTTGGAAGCGTGGCGCAGGGCAAAGTCCTAAAATATTCTCATGAAATATGAAGTATCGCCCAGTGTCTAGAGGACATGGGTCCATTCTTTACAGATCGCTTCAGTTGAGCTCTACTTTTATCACTAAAGCCATCCATGTTTAGTATTCATTATTCTAGTAATCAAAATTCCTCAACTTTAGTGCTTCAATGGTGGATATAATGGCAACATGCCACCATCTACCATGCGAATGTACCTGGAAAAAAGAAGAAGAAGAAGAGAATATTGGTACTTTTATGAAGTAGCATGTTTTGATTGGCCACAATCAATATGAGATAAAACTAATGGATTAGTTCTTTAAGGGTGTGTTCTCTTGTTTTATCTTTTTTTAGTTTGTTTGGGAAGAATTTCTAATGGAATGTGTAATGTTGGAGTTGTCAAATTGGAGCTTTACTTAAATTAGAGCCTCCAAACACCCCCCGGGGGGCCAATCTCGGCCGACGGTGATGTAACCTTTTGCTGTTGAGTCTTTGAGATGCCTATCCTAAATACTGAAATTCCTCTTGTCTCAATCAATGTCAGGGACACCACAGAGGGTTTTATCCAGCTTTTTGCACTCCTTTCTTGACAGTGGCCGTGGTGGAATCCCTTTTCATCCTTCTCCTCTTCCATTATTGGGTTTGTCTGAAGGTGATAAACAATGCATACGTGACCGTAGCAGTATAATGGCCAGGCATCTTTTTGCAGATAAAAGTGAAGAATTCATTAATGCCCAAGTAAGGAAGTTCAAAATCATGCATGCCTTCATCTTCTTCTCCTTGACTTCTCTTTTACTAACCTGATTATAGTATGCATCCCTATGTAGTTCTCCTTCAAGTATTGAACTGTTTTCATGAGTTAAAAGGGAGGTAGTTAAAGGTTGGAGTTCAGTGTTTTCAGAGTGAGCTTCCTTGAGCACTAAGGCAAGGTGCTCAAAAAGCTTATTGAAACAAACTGCTGCAGCCTTTATCGGGCTTTTTCTTGGGATCTTTTCTGTTCTAGTTGAATCACGCATTGGGGAATCACATCATGTTTATCATTTTATTTGTCAGTAGTCAAGTTGCAGTTTTTTGTTATGTTATTTTTTTGTTACTTACCCATTCCTTACTTGGCAAGTGCTTTCTATATAATCTACAACCTGAAGGAACCTTTTTGGTAAGGGCAACTTTTGCCTTTGGCTACCTTGTTCAAGCATCAATTGTGGTTGAGCTAATGTTTAGTAAGAATGGGAGTGAACATTCATCAGAATTAAGTAATGAAGTAGTAGATCATTATTGGAATAGCTTCTCTTTGATGGAAACCAACTGCTTATGCATATTTAATTTGTAGAGTGGCCACTTCCTCTGGGGCTATTTATTTGGCATCTTTTGTAAGATTTGGCTGTATCTAGTGAATCTGGACCAGTTTGATGTAGCTTAGAGATATTGCAAAGAAGGAGGAAATATCACGCTACCTTTACCCTGCTGTCCTCCTCTCCTTCAAAGAAAAAAGTAATTATTTGTTTGGTGAATTTTTCCATATATTGAGCTGACCTGACCTCTGGTATTACCAAGTTGAGTAACAATTTGTATCACTTTATGGTTTGTATCCTTGATGAAATTTTTGCTTAGAATAAGGGAAACTCTTCCTTTGGAGTATGCGAACTTTCCATATGTAAAGCATGTCATGTTGTCCAAGGCACTTATCTCCACGGGCACTCGTTTATTATTTTTCTACATTTGTTACGCTGTTGTACTGAAATAAAATGTGATCATCATCCTTTCTCTTAAATTTAATTGCTCGAATTTTGTTTACTCATCAAGACTATTTACTTTTCAGTTAAATGCACTCCTATGCTCGTTGGATATTGAAACTAACACTCATGATAAGGGACATGGGCCTGGAAGATTTCGGGAACTTGAGGACTATTGGAATGAGTCCCAAGGTAACTTGCAACCTGCTGCTCATGTGGCAGATGGATGGATTAATGAATTTCATCAACAGAGGGAAATTCATGCTAATCCTGATGCTTGGGCTCGTTCTTTCGAGCAACAACATGGCGTGAATGGCTGGGTCTCCGAATTTGAGCAAGTGAGAAACTCTTACGATTCTGTTCTTATGTGCTTTATTTAACGATACTAGTGTGCTGAACTTTCTGATACCATTCTATATTTGCATTGCTACACTGTTTAAATTGTGAATTTAAACTAGTTTGAGATATAAGAAGCCATTGGTGGACCTTTACCTAACAGTTCAAACTTCTTGGTTAATGATTCCCAAATATGGTGCATTTTGTTTGATTAATTGTTCAGGAATTCAAATTTAGAATGAGTGTTTTTATCAGGTTTTGGTTTTGATTTCTGTAATTGAGAAATTGAGAATCATTGATCTGAAGATTGCATCAATACCTACGTAAACCTTCTGCCATCATGCATATGCGATAATTGAGAATGTTCAGGTCTTCATCAGATCTTTTTGGCTCTCAATGATTTTTTTTGTTCTTCTAGCATAGCCATGTCATCACCCCAAATCTTGATAACCACTTCAACACAGATTTCAATTCTTCAAGAAGTCTATGTGCAAGGATTCTGTTTTCAGATTCTTTGCGGTGTTTGGCTCTAGGATTATATTTTGGATATGGAGAAGCAATGGGCAGTGTTGTGCTTGTTCAACTGACTTTTCTATTTTCCTTTTGTTTTCCTGGAGGTTATTTATCCTTCTTATTTGTACTCATCTAGTGATGCTTCTGCTTTCTAAAATGTTTACCAGCTAAGATGATATGCTGCCGCCCTGAGCCTCTAGCCTAATCACACACACACACACACACACACTAACACACTATGATGATTCCACTTATTGGGGGAAATCAAGTCTACTTTTCGGTACTTGAACCTAAACCAAAGAGAAGTGTTCAAAACCATAGAGATCAATAAATACTCAATCTAATTCAAAGTAGGGTATACAACACAGTTTTGCTCATCAAATTTTTGCAAATGATTCTACAGCTAGTGTTATTTTTCTTATTGTCTGCACTCGTTTTGAATGTTGCATATTGGAAACATAATTCATTTTGGCTCTAATGAATTCATCTGGACTTTGATAACGTATGATGCATGTTAACTAGAAGCTGTCCCTTGCAATGCAGAGTAACAAATTACTATTTGCACAGAAATTTAACAATAACCATCTTTTTTAATTTTATGCATGTATTGTATATATTTATCTGTTTAATATTTTTCTTGTCTTGGCGTTTATCTAATTATTGGAACATCCTAAAAGGGTAGATTTTGAATGCATGAAGTATACTAATAAATATTCCTGATATGGGGCATCTTCAATAATATACAATGTGCTTTTAAGTATGGGAGAATTACAACAAGTCCCAAGGAAGGGAAATAATTATTAAAAAGTCCCAATAACAACCTAAGCAGTTTGTAATGACAAGTTTTAGAGTAGAGCATGACAACCTCTGTGACTTATCTTGTAATTATTTTCTTTCCTTGGGACCTTATTGTAATTTTCCCTTCAAGTATTGTTACATTGTACATACTCTCTTCTGCTTCTCCCTTTTTTCCTGCTATTGTTGATATTAATTTCCAAAGCTTTATATGTGATTATGTTCAGTTAATTTTTCTAATTAATTTTCTCTTACTATTTGTTCTGCAGTCTCAATTGTCGTCTGCAGGTCAGATGGGAGGTGCAAATTTTCCAAACTTAGCGGCAATGGAACAGACTCGTTTACTTGCAAGTACACTGGCACAAAATAATGACCCTAAATTTCAGGTTTACTTGCTTCTCATGACTTGAATATTTTAGTGTTTCATGGGCATGTAAATCATGTTAATATAAACATTCAGACATCCATTGGCCCTAAATTTATGTCAAATTGGGGAGGTTTATCTTAAAATAAATGCTGTAGGCAGCATTGTCTTCTTTGTTATCGCTGTTGAAGGTACTTTCTATTTTGATCATCATTGGCCGTGTCACCCTGCCATTGATCATTGCCAAGCTCCTGCAATTTAATTAGTCTAAACAGCATTTGATATCTTGTGTCTAAGACTGGGAAAGTAGTGATCAACTCGTGACAAAAGAATTATTCATTAGAAAGTGTAATATAGGAATAAGAAACATAATAAAGCACAATTATTTGATATACTTACCATTTGTAGCTAAGTAATTATTTTGAGTAATTCACTCTCATATATTATTTCATATGATAGGCTACAATATATAGAGTCCGGATGGGTGAGGGAATCCGGTTACAATCAATCAAAATTGAATTACAATTAATTAGAGATATAGTAGCACATAATTAGGGATTGATCTTGTAGTTAAAATCATGGGTAGAGATCTGAGAATATCATGGGCTTTCTAACACTCCCCCTCAAGCTGGAGAGTAGATGTCAACCATTCCCAGCTTGCTTCGAAGCCCTTCAAACTTGACTCTGGCCAAAGGTTTGGTCATGATGTCAGCAATCTGATTAGATGAGCGCACATAGTTCAAGTTGATGATACCCCCTTCTACTTTCTCTTTGATAAAGTGCCGATCAATGTCGACATGTTTTGTTCGGTCATGATACACCGGATTCTTTGTCATTTCAATACTGGCTTGGTTGTCACACCAAAGTTTCATTGGACCTTCATAGGGAATTCTTAGTTCATTCAGGAGTCTGATCACCCACATTCCTTCACATACCCCCAGTGCTACAGCTCTCAGCTCAGCTTCAGCACTGCTCCTTGAGACCACGGTCTGTTTCTTGCTCCGCCAAGTGACAAGGTTTCCCTAAACATAAGTGCAATAACCTGTGACAGATCTCCTGTTATCCACAGCTCTCCCATGATCTGCATCAGTGTAGACCTCTATGTGTCTTGTATTTCCCCTTTTAAAGAATATTCCTCTTCCAGGATTGAGTTTGAGGTAGGTCAGGATTCTATACACTGCTTCCATGTGTTCTTCCTGAGGTTGGTGCATAAATTGGCTTACCACGCCGATTGCATAGCTGATGTCAGGTCGTGTATGGGTCAAGTAGATCAGTTTTCCCACAAGTCTTCTGTACCTTTCTGCGTCAACTGGTATTCCTTCTGGTTTAACCTCTAGATTGCATGACTCTTCCATAGGTGTTTCACTCGGTTTACCCCCAAGTATCCCTGTTTCGTGGAGTAAATCAAGTGTGTATTTCTATTGGGACACACTTATACCCTTTTTAGATCTAGCAACCTTCATTCCAAGAAAGTACCTCATTTGTCCTAGGTCCTTCACTTGGAATTCCCTTGCCAAGGCTCTCTTGAGTTGAGCGATAGAAGCTTCATCATCACCAGTTATGACTATATCATCCACATACACAATTAAGATCGTTACCTTTCCAGCACTGTGTTTGACGAAAAGGGTATGGTCCGCTTGACCTTGGTTGTAACCAAATCTTTTAATTGCTTTGGCAAACCTATCGAACCATGCTTGTGGAGACTGTTTCAGGCCATATAATGACTTCTTCAGTTTGCAAACCGAATTGGGTGGAGCTATTACTCCATTTGGGACTTCCATGTATACTTCCTCCTCTAAGTCTCCATTTAGGAAAGCATTCTTTACATCCAGTTGATGCAGGGACTAGTCAAGGTTGGCGGCTAGGGATAGGAGTACCTGGATGGTATTGAACTTTGCCACTGGTGCAAACGTTTCTTGATAATCAATCCCATAAGTTTGTGTGTACCCTTTTGCAACTAATCTCCCTTTGTACTTGTTGATGCTTCTGTCAGGATTGAACTTAGGGGTGAAGATCCATCTGCAACCCACTGCTTTCTTCCCCTTAGGGAGTGTGGTAATATCCCATGTGTTATTCTCCTCCAAGGCTTTCAACTCTTCGTATGCTGCATATTTCCAATTAGGATCTTTCATGGCCTGTTGAAATGTTTCTGGAACTTTTACCTGTGAGCTATTCACCACAAAGGTTTGCATTCTAGTAGACAAATTGCCGTAAGAGACAAATCTTTGAATAGGATGCTGAGTACATGACCTTACCCCCTTTCTAAGTGCAATAGGCCATCCTAGCTCTTCAGGATCCAACTCCGGATTGGAATCATGTTGCTGCCTTGGAATGGAAGGAACTCTACTACTCCTGTCTTGTTCTCCTGGTTGAGACCCTGAGTGCTCTGTCACCCCTGCATCAATCTCAGCATTCGTTTCCATTGTGTGAGGATTGTTTGTGGGGCTTTTGGGCTGTTCTGGTCGAGGTGTAGGTTTTGGGTTTTCTGGTTCAGGTATTTCTTCTTGTGGTATGGAGGGTTCAGGAGGGTTAAGATGTGAGTTGGTTTTAGGTTCAGGTGTAATTAGCCATTCTATTCTATCACTCTCCCCCTGAATGGGTAATTTGGGATAGTATGCATCATCCTCATAAAAGACGGTGTCTTTGGAGATTATGAGTTTTCTAGTAGAGGGACAATAACACCTATAACCTTTTTGGGTGGAGAAATACTCGAGGAAAATGCATTTTTCTGCTCTAGCACCCAGTTTGCCCCCATCATGTTTATGGACAAAGACAACACACTCAAAGACCTTTTGAGGGATGGTATTGATGATAGGTGAGGTTGGGTAGGTCTCAAGAAGTTTTTGGATAGGGGTACTGAAATTGAGAATTTTGGAGGCCATTCGATTGATAAGTGATAGGAACCAGAACCGAATAACTTAAATACTGCCTCGCAATAATATTACTCCGTTCTTCCTCTTAATGAAACAGGGAAGAAGTTACAAACAGAAAAATACAGTGTGTATCACAAAATGATTCCTAGACCTAGCATTCGAGAGGCTAGCACTCTCCTCACCAAAACACTCTTCAAAAATGACCTCCCCTTCCCGGGGGTAACCCAACGACTATATGCTCAGCGAATAAAAATGGTCAACACAGTCCCCCAGAATATCCTAATACTAACCAGGTCTACAGCACACAAAACATCCTAGGTTACTGACACTTTCTCCAAAAAGGTAGGAATTGTAAAGTCAACTTATAAAGCATCACTTCCATTTACTTGCATCCCCTTCTGTCTTCGTGAGTAGGTCTGTCCCGCCTGTGTGGTCCTATCATTTCCCACCCCTAAAAGTCTCACCTTGTCCTCAAGGGGAAAGTTAGGAAACTGTTGGGAAATGGTTGCAGCGTCTTCCCAGGAATTCTCAAAGTCTGGTAGATCTTTCCACTTGATGAGCACTTCCAAACGACCATTTGTTAGCTTCCTTACTTTGCAAACGTCCTGGGGTTCCACCTACAGCTCCATTTGCTCAGATAGAGTTGTGGGAAAATCGGGGGTGGCTATTGCTGGTTGAACAGACTTCTTTAGGTTGGATACATGAAAAACTGGGTGCACTCGGGCTGTAGGGGGGAGTTCTAATCGATATGCCACTGGCCCAACCCTTTCCATGATCCTAAAAGGCCCATAAAAGCGTGGGCTAAGTTTTTCATTGACCCTTTTAGCCAAGGCGTGCAATCTGTAAGGCTTGATCCTGACATACACATGCTCTCCTATCTCGAACTGCACATCCCTTCTATGTTTATTGGCTTGGTGCCGCATCTGTTCTTGAGCCTTCAGCAAGTTTTCCTTGAGCGTGGCAATGGTTGCATTTCTGGTCTGAATTTGCTCATTTACAGCATCAACTGTTGAACTTTCATCATGTAATTTGAGGAATGTAGGGGGATCTCTACCATATACCGCTTTAAAGGGTGTCATATTGGCTGCACTCTGATGCGTTGTGTTGTACCAATATTCAGCCCATGGTAACCACTGCACCCATTGTTTTGGTTTTTCACTCGTGAAACACCTCAAATAAGTTTCCAGCCCCCTGTTGAGCACCTCTGTTTGTCCATCGGTCTTCGGATGATAGGCAGAACTGAGACAGAGTTGTGTACCGGCCTGTTTGAACATTTCTTTCCAAAACAAACTCACAAAAATCCTGTCTCGATCCGAAATAATGGTTCTAGGGAACCCGTGGAGTTTAACCACCTCCTGAATAAAGACATCAGCCACGTCCTTGACAGTAAAAGGGTGGGTGAGGGGTAGGAAGTGAGCATACTTGGTGAGCCGATCAACTACCACCAGTATGGTGTCATACCTCCTTGATTTAGGTAGCCCTGAGATGAAATCCATACTTATATCTTCCCAAACTCCTTGAGGGATGGGGAGTGGCTGAAGCAACTCGGCCGGTGTAAGGGCCTGGTATTTGTTTCTTTGACATACTTCACATCCGGCAACATACTGCTGGATATCTCTTTTCATGCCCTCCCAATACACCACGTTGGATAACCTGTTATAAGTGCGCAAATAACCTGAGTGGCCCCCCATTGGTGAGTCATGAAATTCTTTCATCAGTAAAGGAACCCGTGCAGAATTTTTTGGCAACACCAGTTTTCCTTTATAATGCAAACACCCTTTGATTAAGCTATATCCTTCAACCCCCTTGCTGCTCGAAATAACTTGATGCAGGATTTGGTTGAGTTTAGGATCATTTTGGATTTCTTTTTCCAAATCTTCCATTTCTGCATACTGCCACAAAGAGAATCCCATCAGTTCAGCAGATTCTTCTTGTCTTGAGAGTGCATCAGCTGCTCTATTCTCCTTCCCTGGCTTGTACACAATTTCAAAATTAAATCCCAATAACTTAGACACCCACTTCTACTGATTCTCTTCCAAGACTCGCTGCTCTAGCAAATATTTTAGGGCCTTTTGATCAGTTTTAATCTGAAATTTCTGTCCCCACAAATAGTGCCTCCATTTCTTGACTGCCATCACAATTGCCATCA